ATAAAATCTCCTGGGGCAAGCTCTTGAATTCAGCCCCCCTACTTAGGGAGAGAGAAGGAGGGAAGGAAGGAAGGAAGGAAGGAAGGAAGGAAGGGAGGAGGGAGGGGACAAAGTTTGAATGCACCGATCACCTCAGGCAGCACCTGCCCTACCCCAGGTTCCATCACCTCACCGGCTCTGCCCTGTAACCGCTGACCGGTCCCCCCGGTTCGTCACGGCCCTGGCTCAGCTTCTCTCTGCCCCAGGGCCATAGCCCAAACCGTGCCCGGACGGTGCTCACCTCTGCACCCCGACTTTGCCTTTGCCGGGCGTGTTGGGGCAGCAGGCTCCGGGCTCCATCCTCTGCAGCTCCCAGGCGAGTCCCGCCCCGCCCTGCCTTTCTCAGAGGTGCTGACCCAGGGACACGCTCACGAACACCCGCAATCAAGAAGAACGGCGCGAGCCCGATTTTACAGAACCGCGTGTGTGGAAGCGTGGGTCGGGGGAGAGCCTGAAGGAGCTACACGGACGTGCTAAGCCGCGGCCGTTTCTGGCAGGCGGCTGCTTCTGCGAACGGCCGAGCTGGCTTTTGACGCGTGTATGTATGACTCGTGGTGGCGGCAGCCTCGTTCCCCGCGTGGCGACTTCCCCGAGGAAACCCTCGGTCCTCTCTCTCTCTCTTCATTGCTCTTTAAAACCCCATCAAGCGACGAGTGCGTCTCTTCCGGTTTTAAAACACCGACCGAAACCCACGATGGTCATCGCTGTGATCCGTTGAGTCCCGACGAGGTGCCAGGAGCCACGCCGGGTGACTGCCCGGTTAAGGGCGACCAGGAGTGCTGAGAACAGGGTGCACAGCAGCGTCTCCTGTCGCCCCAGTTCTCACGACGGCTCCGTGACGAGTCGCTTCCGGCGACCGTCTGCACTCTGCAGAAGGGGGAACTGAGGTTCGCAGAGCGGAAGGGCCGTAGCCACCTCAGGTGACAAAGGGCCACCCAGACGGATCGCGCCCTGGTCCTGCCGGGGAGTGTCGCCCCGTGGAAACGGGAGGGACCACCCCCCACTCCACCCCCGTTTTCAAAGAGAAGCTGCCGATTAGGCTTTCCTGGGATACATCCTGGATTTTAAATCTCAGAAACATGTCGAATTGTTTGTAAATACAACAAAACAGGCCCTAAAATATCACACGTAAAAATACACACACACACACACAAAACAAAACGTTTCGCAAACCAGATTGGCCCTCGGCGCCTGACGTTCCCTGCTTTAGAAGCATCCGCCCAGCTATGTCCTCTGGTCGCAGGGAGGCCAAAGCCTCTTCACCTCGCAGAGTCTGTGCCACCTCGCAGGACAGCCGTCTGCAGACCGGGGGTCAGCAAAAGCTGTCCTTAGCCAGCCAGTCGCTGTTTCCTGCTTTGCCATCTTCGCCACAAGAACCTGGCTCTGCCTTCGCAGCTACAAATGCGCATGGCCACGTCTCAATGCGATTTTATTTACAGACTCGGAAACTTGGATGTCGTATATAGTTTTTGCGTGTCATGAAACAATACACTTCTCTCGATTTCCGCCCGAGCATCTAAATATGTAAAAGCCGTTCTCAGCTGGCGAGCTGTGGGGACACGCACGGGGGGCGGGCCGCGTCGGACCCGCCACCTGACGGCCGTTTCTCCAGGACCCAGGGCACCGGCTGGCCCCGCGGCCTGGCGCCCCGCTGCCTCGGGCCCGTGTCGCACGCGGATGCAGGTGCATGCGTGTGTCCTCACTCCCACGCCATTCGGACCGGTCTGTTTCAGCCGGGTTCACATTTCGTCTTTGGAACTTTTCGTGAGACGGGATCTTTGGTGGGGACACAGAAACATTGATGGCGGGGTTTCCACAGCCCCCTCTCCCCCGCTCAGGGCCCCTGAGGTTTATCACGGGAAAAGCATGGCTGGGAGAAAGCCGCCGGTCCAGCTCAACAGCAACGGACGGACCACAGAATTGTCATAAAGCCACCTGGCGAAGGACTTCGCTCACAACTCTCAAACGTGCGGTGGTTACGAGAGATCTTGGGGGTCAGGCACACTTGCGCCTGGAGTGTGTCCTTGGGAAATAAGTCACTCGCCTCTCCAAGCCTCGGTGTCCTCGTCTGTTAAATAGGGATCATAACCTCGTAAGGCCGTTTCGAGAGCTTGGGACGGCATGCCGTGTGTGCAGCACACTCAGCGTGCGTGACTTACGCTGACTCGTCATCCGGCCAGCCGGCAGGGAGCGGCCTAAAAACAGACCTGCGAAGGAAACACGAATCTTTAAACAAGAGCGAAGCCTTTCTTCAACATCTTCGAAGATGTTCTGAGTTTGTTTTTTCTTCCAAGAGTTGGCTCCAGGACACGCCTTCCTGGTTCTGAGTCCGTTCTCTTCCTGGTAGGCAGAGAATCAGAACCAAGACGGTGGGTCGCGCACCACATCGTGTTTATCGTGACAGGACCCCGGCTGGAGCCTCCTTGCAGCAGGGGCTAAGCATGTGGCACTTGCTAGTATATGACAATGATTCACGTAGTAACGGTGTCTATCATTCCTGGTACAAGGTGAAATCACAAGCTTGAAGCCTGGATTCAAACGCCGATCCCCACCCCCGCTTCAGCGATGACACCCCCGAGCTCCTCAGTGATTGTGGGTGGCCTCATCACCCAAGGTCAGCGTCGACACCTTTAGCTCCCAGAAGAGCGCACGAGAGAAGGAAGCTTTCGGCTCTGTGCCTTAGGGACAAAGGGCCAACCACTGTTCCGATGCGCCCAGAGCTTCGCACGTGATAACACGCTTCGCGTATCACCTTACTTCATTCGTGCAGTAACTCAGACAGCACGGGCTCTGAAATGTGGGCCCAGCCCTGCGTCACTCTGCCCCTTGTCTGCCGTCCGCAAGGCCACGCTGGCACCCCCGCGCTGTCTCCGCCGCCGGGGACCAGAAGGGCACGATTCCGTAACACTGTGCCGTCTCCGCTGACAAGTTCCGAGATCGTGGGCCGTGCACAGGAACTGGCAGAGCCGTCGGCTGCCCCCAGAGGCTGGTCAATTGGCTGGTTCGCAAACACCCGCAACCGAGTTAAGTTGAGCTGATATTGAAGAAAAGGAAGCAAAACGCTGACCGTTTCCCCGCGGCGACGCCCTGCAGGGCCGCGTCTCCCGAGCGGGCGGCCACACAGCGAGCCGTGGTCCCCGGCTGAGGGACCGGGCGGGCGCGGGGCCTGTGCCAGATGCGGGCGTCGCTGGGCAGCGTGGGCGGCTCCTGAACCCGCTCTGGGGTCGGCGCCGGGGGTGGGCAGCCCGCAACTCCGGGTCCACCCCGTACCCGTGGAATCTTAGGCACAGTGTCCTCGTCTGCGAAATGGGGAGATGAACTAATATGCGTAAAGTCCGCTCCTGTGTCCCCTTCTCCTCCCTCCCTGGGGGGCAGGGAGAAAGG